ACGGGATCCCATCAGCTAGCGGGATCAAACCGGGGTCCTATCGAAAACGGATTCCATCGGAGAAGAGCGTCACGGTGGAAAGGGATCCCTCAGAAAATGGGATCCTAACGGGATCAGTGGCCTACCGGGATTTTGGTCCCCTCGGGATCAGGATCACACCGGAATAGGGATCCCACCGGGAATTGGGATCTAACTGGGAAGCAGGATCCCACCGGGATCGAGATCCTACCGACGGGAACGGGATCCTACCTGGATCGAGATACCGACGGGATTGGGATCCCACCGGGAAATGGGATTGCGCCGCGGTCGGAGTCAAAATGGGATTTGGGTCCGAATGCAATCCCGGGCCATGCCGGGTATATCCGCTAGTATATATAAATATTGAGAATGTGTGGGTTTGTTTGTTCCACAAAGGCTTTTAAATGGACTGATGCATCTTGACCAAACGTGAGACATATATCCATCATTATCCAGAATCAAATAAATGGGGGGGGGGGTGTTAAGTGTTAATGAATTGATGGATTCTGACCCAGCCTAGTACACATAGACTTGATTATCAATATTCAAATAATGAAGGCTACTGAACTCATAATATCCATTCCTCTTGGCCAGGGGCCCAATATCATTCTTCCGTATATAAGCTATATAAATACCAGTAGGGAGAGACAACATTATAGTATAGGTTCTATGTGAATTGATGGATCTGCGCCTACCTTTGTAGCAATACCCTTCATAGTCAATGCTGAAATATAGTTGGATTTAAAACTAAGTATATCCGATCTAGTATTTTCCAGAAAGTTCGATAATGTAAAAAAAAAAAAAAAATCTGTGGCATTTTTAAACCGATTTTAATTTATTTCACTGATGTTTATAGGGCCCCTATCTCAGACAAAACGAAATCGGTACAATTATGGAATGGGTCCCGCCGGGGCCCCTCTTAATCTTTCAAAGTAAATATGAATAGCTATAGTTAAGCGATTTACATTTATAGTTTTTCGTATTCGAAAAATAATTATGTAGAAAAGCCATTTTTACACGTCATGAAGAGGGTATTAATTTTAATCTAGAAATTTCTGGAAAGTTCTATATTTTTCTACGGGGATATTTAATGTAATATAAAGTTTATTGAAATTTAAGATTATTTATATACTTTGATGGCTATTTTCTTTAAACAGACCTTTCATATTCCTACCGGGAACAAAACTCCAATGGGAGCATGATCCCAACGAGGAAGAGGATCCTAAAGGTGAATGAGTAAACTGGAAATCACCGGTAACACGATCCCATTGAGTGACGTGATCAAATAGGGATCCTATCGGCAAACAGGATCCCGTCGGAGAAGAGGATCCCATCGCGAAACGGGACGGAACGGGATCCCAATGGGGTTGGTATCCCAATGGGAATGGGGTACATTGGGATCGGGATTCCAATAGGATTGGAAAATGGTATCTACTTGGAAATGGGATCCCATCGGGGAACGAAAGGTTTACAAAAGTTATTTTGAATGTGTTTTTATAGGAGACAAATTAATTATTTTAATGTTTTCACTATAGGGTTATTGTTTTTTTTTTAACTTGGCGCTTAATTTCAACGTAAATTAAAAGGCTGTAGAAGTTGTTGTCTTTCCGAATGCTATCCCGGGCAACGCCGGGTACATTGGCTAGTTAATAAATATTTTTTGGAGCTCCGAGAATTAGGGAATTTTACCAGATGCAGCTCCACTCCAGCTCCGGCGGTGAACACCCTTACTTCCAAGAACCTAGCTTCGCTTTACAGAACCGCTATTAACGCATCAACTTCAGCCCTAGTTAAACAAAGCTGTTACATCAACACCACGTGCTCGAGCCATGCCTCTGTTTGCCTTGTCCATCGGTGGCTTGGTGGACATCGGTCGCTCTCTGATGTTAGTGGAATTCGATTACGTCGAGACTCCATGCTAGTGACGTAATGCCCAGTCCCGGTCACGCTTGGTCAGATAACTTTATTCACAAGTTAATGATGATGCGTGTGTACGCTGCCTTGGTAATAAACTTCAAATCCTAACCCCCCCCCCCTCACCATGGCTTCAACTTCAAGGGGCTACCCGTATATTTTGAGGGCTCTGGGGGAGATAAAAAAAAAGGGGGGCGGGGAGCGTACGGCACGTGACGCCGATCATCACGCCCTGAGTGAAAGGGGGGGGGTAGCGGGCGGAAGGCCCACTATCAGGTTCTGTTTTTTTGTTACATTTTCATTTCGCTGCCTTGGTAATAAACTTCAAATCCTAACCCACCCCCCCTCACCATGGCTTCAACTTCAAGGGGCTACCCGTATATTTTGAGGGCTCTGGGGGAGATAAAAAAAAAGGGGGGCGGGGAGCGTACGTCACGTGACGCCGATCATCACGCCCTGAGTGAAAGGGGGAGGGTAGCGGGCGTAATGCCCACTATCAGATTCTGTTTTTTTGTTACATTTTCATTTCTACTGTTGGCTGAGGAAGGCTTTATGCCGAAACGTCCTTGTTTTTTGTCCTGTTATCTTATTCAAGCTTCCACATACCTCGTTTTGCTTTTTGATTCATAAAAACACAACGTTGGAAATCCATTATTGGTTCCAAATCTTTCTAATGCCATGACCCTTTAATACTGTTCCTCATGTTGTGGTGACCCCAACCATAAAATTACTACTTCATAAATAAGTTGGTTTTTTTTTTCTGATTGTAGTGGTGACCCATGAGTTAGGGTTGTTCGACCCCAAAAGGGTTCTCGACCCACATGTTCAGAACATCTGCATTAAAAAAAAAAGAAGAAATACTGGATGTTTGTCATAATCATTATAATTTTTTTTAAACTTACCTTATCCCTCGTATTTATGTGAGTGTATGTAGCGAGTGGGGTTGGGGGGCGAGCGGGNGATCATCACGCTCTGAGTCCCTACGCCTACACCCCTAAGCTGATGCCCCTGAATCTGTCATAATGATTGTGTATTATTTTTTTTTACATTCCTTTAACCCAGTGGTTCTCAATCTTTTTGGAGGTACCGAACCCCACCCGTTTCATATGCGCATTCACCTTCTTAATAGGAAAAATGAAATATTATTTTTTTAATGTTTTTTTTTTTTTTTTTTTTTTTTTTACCTCCGCCGAACCCCTGAGACTGACTCACCGAACCCCTGGGGTTCGATCGAACCCAGGTTAAGAGCCACTGCTTTAACCGTATGAATAATACTTTTGGTCTGAGACTGGCAAAAAATCTGGCCACACATCAGATTAAATGGACCAAAACAACAGCAGCGATCGAAAGTCTTTGAAAATACATGGTTTATATTAAAATTTCACTTTAAACCACTGAAAAATACATGAAAAAAATCGTGAAACAATAAATACATGTTTATAGTAGCCACTACAGTGTTTTAATGTAGTTCCATGAGGAAAAATTAAATTTTAATTTTATTTCTGTAGAAATAAAAAAAAAATAATCTTACTATGTTAATTCTTTGTAAAAAGTATTTTAAAAGTAAAAAACAATCTTTTTAATGGAATACAACAACAATTAAACAAATTTTATAAAATAAAAAAGTAAATTTTCATAAATCTTTTGTTTTTTTATGGAGCCATTGCGGTAAATCAAGGATAACTCTTCTGTCTTTAAAGATACGTTATAAAAGTTGCCCAATTGGATGAATCATGGTTAAAATAAATGTTGTATTTATTTTGTAAATTTACTATCAAAATCAAATATAACCGGAGTTCCCCGGAATTGCATTCATAAAAATACATCTGCTACTTCCTTTTAATTCACATTGCTATAAAGCGAAATTTCAACAACAAAACAACACCACTATATTAATAAAATAATAATTAATTTGTCTCCTATAAAAACACTTAAAATAACTTTGTAATCCATTCGTTTTTTCCCGTTTCCCGATGGCACCCCGTTGTCCGGAAGGATCATGATGGATCCCGATGGGATCCCGATTCCGGTAGAATTCTGGTCATGGTGGTATCTTGATCCCGGTAGAATCCCACTCATGGTGGGATCCCGATCCCGATGAGATCCCGTTTTCGTTGTTATCCCAATCCAAATGAGATTCCTATCCGGTGGGATCCCATTTCCGGTGAGATCCCGATCCTGGTAGGATCTCAAGCCTGGTGAGATCACAATCACGGAAAACGTATTTTCAGCCATCAGTATGAGCTGACCAATCACGGACAATGTGTTTGCAGCCATCAGTATGAGCTGACCAATCACAGACAAAGTATTTGCAGCCATCAGTATGAGCTGACCAATCACGGACAATGTGTTTGCAGCCATCAGTTTGAGCTGACCAATCACGGACAATGTGTTTGCAGCCATCAGTATGAGCTGACCATCAATAAATGATCCGATTTCCCCCATTCCTGCAACGTCACAAATATTTTTTTTAAAGTGGACACGTGATCACACATGGGCACATATTCGTGGACCCCCCCTCCCCCTCCCCCTTTTTTTTCCAGCTTCACTCTAAGACAATGATGACGTGTGTTCCGCTGCCTTAGTCGGTGATCCACTTCTAATCTCCCCCCCCCCACCCTCCCTCCCTTAAAGTAATAAAGNTTCCGCTGCCTTAGTCGGTGATCCACTTCTAATCTCCCCCCCCCCCACCCTCCCACCCTTAAAGAAATAAAGGGACAACCCGTATATTCCGAGCGCTCTGAGAGGGAAAAAAAGAAAGTGGGTGTGGGGAAGGGGGCGCTCGTACGTAATGAAAAATCTAGTACAGTGGTTCGTAACCTGGGTTCGATCCATCCCCAGGGGTTCAGTAAGTCAGTCTCAGGGGTTCGGCGGAGGTCCAAAAAAAAAATCAGAAAAAAAATAATCCTATTTCATTTTTCCTATTAAGAAGGGTTCGGTGGATGCGCATATGAAACTGGTGGGGTTCGGTACCTCCAAAAAGGCTAAGAACCACTGATCTAGTAATTTTCATACTTTTTTGTGAACACGCCTACAGTTTGAAAATTTCGTTTGCATATAGGTGGTTAAAAATCTGGCCATAGGGTGAAAAACAACAAAAAACAAAAACAAATGGGGTTATGTAACTTTGGTTGGGGGGAGTGTAAAGACTCTTTAGAAATCAAATAAATAAAGGCGATTTAAAATTCAGTATTATTTACCTATAACTGCCTGTATTTAAGTAATAAAGAATACACGTAAGAGCGTAAGTTTTCATGATAAAAAAAGAAATGCGTTAAGAAATAATATACGCACCTGAAATCCACTAAACTAAGTCTTAACTGAAGTATGAATTATTAAATAGCAATTCAATATCCAACTGAGTGACCAAAACAAGAAATAAATAAAATGAAGGTTACTTTGTTTATCGCCCTAAATGTATGGGCAATATCCTCAATATGTGAATGTGATGCTACAGTATGGTATGAACCTGAACAAACTCATATTGCAGTAGGGGGTAAGTGATAATTAAATTAATCACTTCAATTTATTGTATAAAATGTATCTTTTTATGTACCATGTGAAACTGTAAACTTATGTCAAGTATGCTTGAGTAACAGTTGTTGTCAAACACATATATAGACATAAGTCTCATAAGTATTAATATTATGGACGGTCCTTATTAAATATGGGGCCATCTATTAATCTATACATGATTTCACGTGTCTAGACTTAGAGGGGTGGAAAGGGGGGGGGGGGGCAGATTTTGGGGGGGGGGGAGGGGGGGGGGGGGGGGTCAGATTTTTTGATGAAGTGTGACGAGGGGGACGGGGGCTCAAGCAATGTGACATCGCATGAAAAATGGAATATTGTAGTAAAGAATTGCACTTACTAACCCAAATTGCAGACATTTTTAACATATTCTCTTATACAATATAATTATTTTATTTTTAAACTATCAACACTGAGAAACTCAGTACAAGTATGCGAGGTCTGAAAAACTGGCCTCTGATGCCTCTGATTCTGATCAAGTTATAGGACGCCAGCAGGGAGGAGATCAGGATGTAGTGACAATGACAGTCTTGAGACTTTATGGCTAATTGTGGACACAGGAGTCTTAGAATTGGACTACCACATGAAGTGGAATGGAACGGAAAAAATGGTTGACCGGGGTGAGGGGGGTATCTTAGTAAATGCTCTAGGGCAGGGATTCTTAACTTTTTTTGCAGTGCTGCAGACTTGCTCCTTTTTAAACACACAGCCCCCCTTCTATGTATAAATTATATTGTAATAAAATTTAAAATAATACAAAAATTTAGTTATCATAGTTTTATTTCTTTTATTAACTTTATAAACAAGGGAAAAAGTACCAATACAAGGAATGCGGCAACAAAATTCACAAGAAAAAATTTACTGCTGCTAACCAAAATGCATGAAAACTATTTAAAAAATTTAAAACGCAGAAACCAATACAATCCCTGATGTAGCCACAGTTGGTGTCATCCAGTCCGATAAGCTCGTGGTGTTTACCCCCCTCCCCCCCAATTCCCCATGTATGGAGTACCATGTATTTAACAATTGTGACATGTATTTATCAAAGGATAGCTTTATTTCTCAGAATTATGTAGCCACAGTTGGTGTCATCCAGTCCGATAAGCTCGTGGTGTTTACCCCCCCCCCAATTCCCCATGTATGGAGTACCATGTATTTAACAATTGTGACATGTATTTATCAAAGGATAGCTTTATTTCTCAGAATTTAGATAAATATAGCTTCCTGTCACTTACAAAAGTTACCAAACACTTCATTCGACGCTGAAACATGATCCAAACGGTTTGTTTCTGACCTAATAATAAGGTAACCTAATTGGTGATGTGTCAACCTTGAAATTTTAATAAAAAACGCATTTTGATTGGTTACATGGGTGGAACATTTTCGTGTCATCTGTTATCCTTTTATGAATTTTGCTTAGACCGAGCAGTATTTTCTCTGTAAATACGCAATTTTTCATTTTGGTGTCACCCCCTGAGATGGTGTCACCGGGTGCAGTCTGCACCCCCCTAGCTATGCCACTGAATACAATTTTATGGTCTTCCACACTTCAGGGCTGGGGAGGTACTATTACCCCTGGTTAAGAAGCACTGTTCTAGTGAAATGTTTCTGACACAGGTGTAGTAATTTGATATCCATGGGATGTGAATTTTTCAAAGGTTTGTAAAGGACAATAGCGGAATTACAGACTTTTTATGGGGAAGGGGGGGGGCAGAGATTTGTGACGTTATATTTGAGGGGGAGGGAGTCCTAACTGTTTATGACGATTTGTGCTATGGGGGGGGGGGGGTTAAAAAATTGAAAAAATTTGCATAACGTCATTTATGGATGGCCCCTATGGAAGTAATCAAATTGCAAACAGGTTGATGACCACTGGTTTCGATCAGGGGTCATCATAGGGCTCAAAAGACAAATAAAATTATAATTATATTAAACAGGCATTCCATTTTATGTTTCTTCTGGCAACTCTATTTTTGATGTAGAGATGTGTGACATCATTTATGGATGGTCACCGATATTGAAGGGTGGCATTTTTTTCTAACTGCAGAGTTTTTTCTCTTGGCCTACCCTGAACTGCACTAACTGTATCTTAGCTACACTACTGCAGTTAGCATAACCACACGTCTTGTCTTGTATACATCATTTTGACGATCATCACGCACTGAGCGAAAGGGGGAGGGTAGCGGCTGTAATGCCCATTATCACCTTGTTCTGGTAGTTTCCTAATGGTGTGGCACCCTGTGCTGTGATACCCTTTTCTTGTGGCATCCTGCTCTTGTCTTTAACTTAGATATGTTTTGAAACTGAAGTGATCCATTTTTTTTTTCAAATTGTCTATTTTTAATTTGGTATCATTCCCTGTGAGGGTGCCACCTCGTACGGTCTATACCACCCGCACACTCCTATTGACCCTAACGATTATGCTCTAAAGCTCAAAAGACTGTCAATGGTTACTGGCTTTTGCAGTATTTTTCAGAACAAGGATTTTCCACCCAAAGAAAGGCGACAAAATCAATCCTGCAGACAATATCTAAATTGCTCTCCTAGTTTTCAAGTTATTCTATCAATAATGAAGTGTCATTTCTAAAAAATTTGAAATGAAAATGGTTTAGAGAAATCCTTTTGTTCCATAATTAATGTTATTTTTTCAATTAACGGTATTTAAGTGTATTCTCCATATAAATAGCTTCAATAAACGTTTTGAAGTATGTTTTGGGGTAATGGCTTAAAGGGTGCCCCAAGAATATTTATTCGTTTTTAGTTATTATATACTCTCTAAACAAAAAAATTAATCATATGTTGTAAGCAAAATTATACCATTTCCAAAAGACATTTCAGTCCTTACTTAATCAATTTGGAAGTATGGCATTTGCATACCTTCTGGGATGATTGTCTACCTTCTTTTCCATGTGTTGCTGTGTTGCTCCGGGTTGAAATGGCTAGAAAGACTTTGATATTGTATGCTTGTAATTAGTTTTTGTAGTGTTGCGTTTGTTTTAAATGTGGTGAATTATAGATATTTTTTGTTGACTTTGTACCGCGCTTCGAGCCTTTGGGGATGAAGCGTGTTTTTGAAATGAACTTTATTATTATTATTATTATTATTTCTAAAAATTTTTTTTTTTTATGAAAACCAAAACAAAATAATGATGTTAAGTTACTAAAATTGATTTTGGCCTGACTGAGAATTAAAGAAATATCCTTTTAAGGTTGTTTGAAATCTGTATCTTATTTTAACAAATATTTCCAGAGAGTCCTGACCAAATGGTTATAGTGTGGAATACTATCAATGACACCAAAGAGTCCACGGTTTTGTATGGTACAAATGGTAAACTAACGCTTGTAGTCAATGGAACACGACACAAGTTTGTAGATGGTGGATCAGAACAAAGAACTCAGTTTATACATAAAGTTATTCTGACTGGCTTGGCCCCAGACACAGAATACAGTGAGTTTTTACTTATTTTCTTCATGGAAATGGTTAACTGAGAATATCATGGGATTTTTTTTTTTAATGCAGCTTAATTTATTATTAAAGAAATAATATTGTTTTTGTAACTAATTTCTTTTAAGAAAATGGATCAGAATAAAATTCTGTATTCTGGTACATTGGATTGACACCTTTAAACAGATTTACTAATTATACAATGGAAATTATTATTTAAATCTGTAAATAAACTGTCATCACTTTATGATTAGTTTAATATGGGGGTGATTGCAATACGTTAAGTTAAAGGGAAATAAGTATACAAGGTCGGCGAAAACCAGAAAATAAGGACTCTACGAACTTGTCAGCAAAAAGCCTGACAATATCTACTCCTGACAATCTGCATTGCAAGCAGGGTTGATAAAAATCAAGTAGTTTTTTTAAAAATTAAAAGAAAGTTTTTCTTGATTTAAATCAGATTTATTTGTTTTAAATAGTATTTTTAAAATTAAATTGATTTTTTAAATTCTTTTTTTAAAAGGCCTTCTTTAGATTTTTAAGCATATTAATGTTTATAAAGATTAAACATAACACAGTAAATAAAATTTAAATCAAGTTACTGTATTTCAGGTTATGTTGTGGGCAGCAAGGCTTATGGCTGGTCAAATTTGTTCACCTTCCACACATGGCCTGATGGTGAAAATTGGAGCCCAAGTCTTGCTATTTTTGGTGACATGGGCAATGAAAATCCCCAATCATTACCCAGAATGCAAGTTGAAGCAATGGCAGGGATGTATGATGCCATCCTTCATGTTGGTATGTACCCCTTATTTTGTTTACCATTTATAACTTTATCTTGAGGTTTATGGAAATATTTTGATTTGTAAATATTATAAAGTTGTAAAGTAATTTTTTTAAAAACATTTCTTGTTTCAGGGGATTTTGCCTATGATATGGATGTGGTGAGTTTATTATTTTCTGATTGTTGCTGTAAGTTCTGTTACTTTTAAAAATTTTATTTCTTACCTTTTCTGTGATTATACTTTTTAAAGGCTTTAACTCTAAGAGATGTACACTTTATGTTACATCAAATACTTTATCCATAAAGACTTTTCATATATTGATAAAGAATTACATGTTTGGTGAAGAATGTATATTTTCACCAAAAATTCATGTTTTTAACTTCCAATGTTTGCCCGGGATACATGATGGTTTAATCTCTCTGAGAATAAAGTCATGTTGTACTTTCTCTGGGCTATTCTTACCCTAGATTATGGCATTTTTAACTGGTAAAATATTTGTAGGACAATGCTCGAGTGGGTGATGAGTTCATGAGACAGATTGAGCCACTTGCCTCAAGACTTCCTTACATGACCTGTCCAGGCAACCATGAACAAGCTTAGTAAGAGCTCTTTTGTCTTATTTTAAAACTAAAGATAGACTAATGGTATCTAAAATACAGCATTGCCACTGAAAATTTAAAATATTCAAAAAGTCTCGTGAAATAATTCCTTTTTAAAATACAAAAATGTGTTTGTTTCATATCTTGTTAAGTGAAAAACTGTTTGTTTTTTTTGTTGTTTTTCCTGTTCATTTCCACTATTCCAATTTGGAATGAATTAAATAGAAAAAGACATTTGACCTTCTTTAAAACATATTATATTGTATGTTGTAAATTATTTAGTACTAACAGGAACCCGGCATGCATTGCAATGCCACTCAAAGGAAAAAAGGTGTTTGTGTTTTAATTACGTTTTTAAAGTAATTTTTAAAAAGAAAATATATTTTTGTTTTTTCGTCTGATGCCTTCACAAATAAATAAGAATGTTTTTTTTTTGCGAAGCATGAACAAGCCACATTCAGCTGTGCACGTGAGAAACATGGGTTTTTAAAATTTAGTCAACACAATTGTAGTGATTGATCCATCCATTCAGTAGCTCTGTTTGAAATTATATTTATATAGGTCAAATAAATAAAAAAATAAGGCCCCTGGCCCCAAACACAAAATTGTAAAATGGTTCTACTAATTCAGAAACCTTATTATTATGTCACACACAAACTGAAATGTCGCTTGTATTTGATTCAATTCCCTCCACCCATGCAATAACTCTGTTTGAAGTTATATTTCTATAGTTCATATGAGAAAAAGATAATTTAGAGCTCCCAGAATATTTTAAAATGGAAAACATAATTCGGAAACCTTTGCGGGCGGGCGCTCAACAAATTACCAAAGTTTTATCGCAATCGGATGATTGTTATAGGGACACATTTGAAAATTATACTAAGCTCATAAAAGATAAAAAGGAGAATATAGGCGCCCCGGGCCCAAAACAGAATAATGTAAAATGTGTGTAACAATTTAGAAAAATTTTCTGGCGTGTGTACATCAACTCACAAAAGTTTTATCGCAATCAGATGAATGGTTTAGGAGCCCATACGGGAAATACATACATACATTAATTTTTAAATAGGTATAGATATAGTTTCCAGAATAAAAGATACCTTTTGCGCGACTATTCATGGAAGCGTTCTGTCTGTCTGTCCTTCCATCTATCTGTTCATCCATCTATCTATCCATCCATCCATCCATCCATCTATCCATCCATCCAATCAAATCTTATTTATTTTTTATTTAGGCATTTTTTATATAGCGCTTCCCTTAAAGCTCTAAGCGCTTTACAATTATTAAAAACATGTAAACTAAGTAAAATAAAAAATGAGACACTAGGATAGTAACTACTATACTATAGAAACAATTAAAATGGCTATAAAACGAGGACACTTTGGCACGTTTTGGCCTATAATACAGGATCAACCCGAGACAGAAAATGAGGCAGGGCAAGGAGGGTGCATCACAGGTCATAGGCGGACCTAAACAGATGGGTTTTAAGGGACTTTTTAAAAGTGGACGAGGTTTCACAATGATGGATATGGAAGGGGAGCTGGTTCCAGAACGAGGGCCCATGGAAGTAGAAGGAGCATTCACCGATGGTCTTAGTTTTGGTTCTTGGGATTGAGAGGGTTCTATTGTCAATGGAAGAGCGTAGTTATCTTGTGGGGATGTATCTATCATCCGATAGTGGCAAACTCTCGACACCACGTGTTTGCCTTGAGACTTACGGAAAGCGCACTTTCGCATTTGCTGGTACAACAATTTGGAACGCCCTTCCTGTCGATCTCAGAAACAACCAGACACTGGAGTCCTTTAAAACCAATTTAAAGACACACCTATTTCGCAAACACCTTCTGGGATGATTGTCAACCTTATTTTCCAGTTAATGCATAATGGCTGTGTTGCTTGGGGTTGAAATGGCTAGAAAGACTTTGCAATTGTATGCTAGTAATTAGTTTTTGTAGTGTTGCGTTTGTTTTAAATGTGGTAAATTATAGATTTGTATTTTGTTGACTTTGTACCGCGCTTCGAGCCTTTGGGGATGAAGCGTGTTTTTGAAATGAACTTTATTATTATTAATATTATTATTATTATCTTTCTATCCGTCTATCGGTATATCTGTCTTGGATCTATCCGTCTGTGGATCTATCTGTCTGTATATCTATCTATCTATCTATCTGTCTATCTATCTATCTATCTATCTATCTATCTATCTATCTATCTATCTATCTATCTCTCTCTCTCTCTCTCTCTCTCTCTATACATATCTTTCTCTCTATCTATCTAAGAAAGTCTTAACCGATTTCTATTTTAAAAATTAAATTTTGCTTGTTGAAATGATGGGCTTTGATATTCATGGGTATAATTGTGTAAATGTACTCACGTTTTGTTAACGTCATTGATTGATTTTTAGGTAAAATAAGAATATATCATTTATTTGTGACAACTGTGATATCATTGGAATTAAATATATTGTCATCCACGTAAAATTGTGCACACCCTATTTCTTACCCCCAATAAATATGTACCTATGAATTTAACTATTTGTCAAATTCATTCTGAGGCATATCTTGTGCTGCCTTGGGCTATTTAACTCTCCTTTGCCCCCCCCCCCCCCCCCCACAGAGTTTTAAACATACAAAAATTAGCCATGATATTGTAACCCCCTTACTTACCCAAAAACGATTTTTTGTTTCATTTGACATGCGTTGTTCTTATTTGGATGAGTGATAAGTGCATTATGAATGCTATTTGGATATGTAGTTTCGCTGCACTGATTGCATTAAACAGTATTTTCATATTAAAAGTATATGTAAAGGTTAAGCTTTTTACTACTTTATAACTTTCATAAAAGTTTTTTTTAGAAAGAATAAAAAGTAAAAACTTATTAGTCTAAATGTTAAAAATACAAAGCTAAAGTTGTACTTCATTGGAGAAAATTTTAGCTCTTTAAAAAGCCATCTATTATTTTTATTAATTTTACTTTTAAGAAGGGGAAAATGTATTATCAGCTTTTTTACACATGGTTATAAAATCAAAGAAACTTAACTTAGAGCTGTGGCTAAAATAAGCAATCCTGCTATGAAGTCATTTGCAAATTATTTACATCAAATAAATTTTCTTTATTATTTGGCAATTAATTACAACATACAAAAATACGCACTAAGATTACCAGATGTTTGGATTTTCCCGATAAATGTGATTAAGATGCAATTCTTAATCATAATATTTTAATTAATAATGGTTTTCATAACTTTTACATTAGCATAAAATTCTTAAAATAGTTCCTTATTTGGAACTTTAAATGTATTTGTAATTTATAATAATAATGCTTAAGCTTTTACTAAAACAAAAGCAGATTTAAAATAATTTTTGCGCATTTAAATTTATTCCATTTCCGTAAAATAATAGAAAATAACTATGATTGTTTTAGGAATCCCAACCTACTTAAAACGTATGGGTTCTTTGGCGTTATGTCACTATAGCTCATTCTTATATATATTTTCATTTAATTCTTTTTAGCAACTTTTCTAACTACAAAGCGAGATTTTGGATGCCAGGCGATCACAACAAACAGATGTACTATAGGTATGAAAATATGTTGCCACACACAAGTTGTCTTCAAAACATTTCATACCATTTGGCATTGTATAATGTTAATAAGTTGCTGTTAATATTGGTCAATTTAGACAACAAAAAAATGGCATATGTTAAGATATATGTGATACAAACAGCTGATGTCATTTCAACTGCTGTCCATCATCTTGTATCTTCCATTGACCAGGGATCACCCATTGGCCCATTGGTCACCCTTTTCTTTGTTTTGATATTTTAACGAAGGAGTATTACATATATTTTTAAAAAGATTAAACATATTTTTAGTTGTTTTTTTTTTTAATTCTCTTGAATTTTTTTACTTTTCAAACAAGGATAAGTCTGAACTATTCAATAAGAATCATTTAAAAAAAATTAATTTACTTTAAGTTTAAGGATAAAATTTAATATAGTAAATTAGACATTCATTAGGGTGGCGCAAAAATTGAGATTCTTTTGTAAGCTGTTGATAAACTATGGCATAAAGTTGTAGAGACAAATGTTTTTTTACTTGAGAAATATTATATAGATATATAACAGAATCTGCCATAAACTTCAAGTAAACTTCAGGCTGATGAAAGCTCTAGTGATATAGTCTCCTCACACCACCACCCCCCCCCCTTTTTTTTAAAAATGACAGCTAAGTAGTTCCAAGTATTTGTATTTTTAAAACTATTCATCTTGTTTCTTGACCTAGCTTCAAAATGGGACCAGTGCGCTTTATCTCTGTTTCCACCGAATGGTACTTCTTCCCCCAATATGGCCTGGTGCCCATCGTGGAACACTTCAAATGGCTGGAGAAAGAACTTGCTGTAAGTTTGTTGCAAAGTGAAGTATTTTGTAATTATGATTCAATTAAATATCCTCGACTTCAAAGACTTGAGTTTTCTGTTAACTAATAGAAATGATTTGGTCTTTTCTGTACCATAGGATGCCAACCTGCCAGAGAATCGTGCCAAGCAGCCCTGGGTCATCACCTTTGGTCACAGACCCATGTACTGCTCTAATGACGATAATGATGACTGTACACATCATGAGAGTCTTGTGAGTATTTTGATGTACATTCTTTTAAACCTACTCCTGCCTGACCTACTTTTGATGTTAAGCTTTAGATCTGCTTATACTAAAGGGCAAAGCGTCATTTGGAGACACATGTTTTAAAGGAATAGAATTAATTATGACACGTGAACTTATTGTATACGTTTTCTAAAAATTTGATTGACTCATTTTGTCTTTTGACATTAACAATTTATTGACAGGTTTGAAACTGTAAGCTATTATAAGTATGAAATACAGTAGTACATGTTCCATTTTACAGGTTCGTGTCGGCATTCCATATATTCACCTGCTCGGCTGGGAACCTTTATTCTACAAATATGGTGTGGATGTGGCCTATTGGGCTCATGAGCATTCTTATGAGAGACTTTGGCCTGTTTATAACAGACAGGTAAATGAAGATCTGTAATTCACAGAAAATAAAATATAATTTTTTAAATAATTTCTGAGATTTAAAATTGTGGAATGTGTAGAAGTTTAAATCTCTTTAAGATGTACATTTTTTTCTTATGATAATTTACAGTTCTAAACTGCCATTATTTGCTCAATGGCCCTTTCATTCCTCAATGCAAAATTTTCATTTCCTTTTCCTGTACAACACCATTATGCGCTTTGTTCATTTTCTTGATGAACAGTGCATTCACTTTCTCTTTACATCCTCTTATTCTCACTCTCTCTCACTCTTTAAATCCTCTTACTCTATCTCACTCTTTGCATCCTTTTGCTCTTACTCCATAGGTATAAATTGACCCTTAACCTGTATAATATGAAGTATATAATTAAAAATTATGCCAGTTGAATGCCAGATGACCACAAACTAAAAAAAATGCCCATCTAATTTTGAAAAATTTGCATAATAGAATTTGCTAGAATATCATAGACATCTTATTAATATTTCATTATGAGTTAAGATAAGATAGGATTCTTTCATTGATCCCAATAAATGGAATTTTTTTTTTTAATTACATTGCGCATAGTCATTTTCAGCACATAAATAAATACATATGGCAACCAAGACAGCATTTTACAATTATAACAATTTAAACACAAGACATCTAAAGTATTTAACCAGCCTGAATGAACTCCTTCAGTGACAACAATGATTTAATTAGTGATCATATTGATATGGTAACTGCTGATGGAGCACGCTGGTCAATTCGTACCTACTGTTGAGCATGTTTTTCACTAAAGGTTTACCGGTACTGCAATGATGCAATATTTGTAAATAATGTTAGATTACCAAGATCAATTATTTACAAAGTTTTCTTCATTTTTTTTGGGGTTTAACTTAGCATGACGAGATAGAGTAGTATTTAAAATAGACTACTCCATGTTTCAATCTGTTTTATGCTTCTTTGATCACATTCGCAGGTGATGAATGGAAGTGTCAGTGAACCTTACACTAATCCTAAAGGACCGGTTCATATCACCACAGGATCAGCTGTAAGTCATTTCTTATAGAAATGGTACATCCAGGGTTCTTATAGAATAGTCACTAACGCTAATAAATGTCACATGCAGTGGTAGATCCATGGTTAGAGGACACATTTTATTGACATAAAACATATGAAAACTATAGAAGGTATGAAATTAATTTACACAATATTTAACTATTCTTACAATGAAAGGAACCACCCCCCCCCACCCCACCTGTCCTCTTCCGACACCACTTTTTCTTTTTTTTTTTAAACCTGTTGTGTAAGATAATTATATAGATAGATAATAGGAGCATTCACTAGTCTTCTGTCAATCCACTTTCACATATTGACCATGGGATATACATTCACAAATTGATCATGAGATCCACTTTCACCAATAGACCATGGGATCCATTTTCACCAATAGACAATGGGATCCACTTTCATCAATAGATAATGGGTGTTGAAATTATAGAAGGCTTGTTGGGCATATTCATTGAAATTGACCATAAATTAAAACCAATGAACAAATTATAAAAGTGTGAGTGCTACTCTTTAGTGCATGGGGAGAAAGGAGGTTTGTCTGAAATGATGATGATATGCAGGAGATAGAAGGAAGGAGAGGATCAGAGGGGAAAAAATAATGGGAAAGTGGAATGTTAGTTAAATGTATAAGAATAAGTTTTTAACGCTAATGTAATAATTCATTTACAGTGTCATAAGTTATTTACAATGCCATAAGCTATTTACACATATCTGTTTACCTTAACAACAACACAGTTTGAATTGAAAATATCTGAAATCTTTGATCTTATTTAGGGTTGCAAAGAGCGCCATGATAAATTTGACAACATTGTGGATGACTGGTCTGCCTTCCGAAGCAATGACTATGGATACACTCAAATGAAAGTGTACAACAAAACCCATCTGTCCATTCAACAGGTCTCAGATGATCAGGTAATTTAAACAAAAGCTGGAACTAAAATATCACCTGACAGTTTGTTGACATGAGTTTAACCCACCCATAAAAATGATGTGACAGTTTGTTGATATGAGTTTAACCCACCCATAAAAATGATGTGACAGTTTGTTGACATGAGTTTTACCCACCCATAAAAATGATGTGACAGTTTGTTGATATGAGTTTAACCCACCCATAAAAATGATGTGACAGTTTGTTGACATAAGATTAACCCACCCATAAAAATGATGTGACATTGGAGTTTACCTACCCATAAAAATTATGTGATCCCCTACCATATAGACTTTTTCATGAACATTGTTTTAAACCAAAGTAAAATAAGTAAAACATGGTATGGAAAAACCTGAAAAAAGGATGAAACAAAACCATGAATGTATCTGCAAGAAGCCTTCATCAGCGGAAAGTACAAATATAAAAATATATCTGAAATTTAGTATCCCAGACAACAGCAAAAGGAAACTTTCTGGGATGCACATTTCAACTAAATTTTTCGCTGCCTCCTTTTTTCAGGTTGCCCTCACCTTATTTCTAGATATTTCCTTTTGCCTAACCTGATCGGAGTCTTCCCCCAACCACCCCCCACCTTTTCATTGTCATGTTAAACCAGAGTCTTAAATGATGATGTAATGAAGAATTTGTTAAAATAAAATAGCAGTAGGGGTAGGTGATCTTAGACGTATACGTTACTCATAACTTTGATTGCTATGGAAGGGGTACTTTATGTTACTGAATCATTAATTAAAACTTTGATTTGTCAAGTCTATTTTGCTGAAATACTTTTCGCAATGAGCGTTGTGCCAACCTATCATTGAAATTGTTATCTCAATGAGATTGTGCCTACCTTTTCATCTTATCGTTGAAGCATTTTATCAGTTTTACAAAAAGCTGAAAAGAATCGAATGTTTTGAATAATTAATTTTGTCAAGAAAATAGCATACAGTGGCATAATTATTTCTTATGTTTAAAAAAAAAAATTTCACAGGATGGACGCATTATTGACAAAATTATGATCATTAAAGACGCACATGGATCTTATTCGGGGTATCCCAAACCTGTTGTACCAAAAGGGGACCCTCTGAAGAAGCTCTGGAAACAATGGAAGCATTACATTGATGAAGCAAAGAAGCTGCTCGGGTAACTTTTACTGCCCGCAATTTAAGAACTTCCTGATATTAACAATCTGAATTTTATTTTACATTTTACTTGACTTTGTTGTACTTTTCATCTGAGAAACATTTTGTTTGAGATTTTATTGTACAGTTATTGTTCCCTTGCTAATCTTGTTCACATTTTTTTACAATTGAAACTGTGTCAGTGTTATTAAGAATATATCGCTTACTAAAAGGAACCTGTGTGACACTGAAGTTAATCACATTGCCTTTCAAATTAATAAAACCACAGCTTTATTTTAACAATCACTCCAAGCCATTTAGCAAAGCAAATCTAATAATTGCTGGTATTGCTTTTGTGATATAAAATTAAAATATCTTATTTTTGCTTTTACATATTTTCAGTCCAGAGTTTTTAATGAGCCTGTTTGCCTTTGTTCAAATATTGTTTTGGATGTTTTAATCAGCAATAGTCATTTGGCTGCTCCTTTTTTTTTTATATAGTTTTGCGTCGTTCTTATTCTAAAAAAAAATTCTTTTAAGCGAGCTTATATATTATCACTTACTAATTTGACATTGTGTAGAAAACAAAGACCCATGCTGTGGGTTCATTAAAAGTTTATCTTAAAATTAAAACATATGATAATACTCTAACTTTTTTACTTCCTTATATGTATTAAAAAATAAATTAGGAAATTTACCTTTTTTTTTTTTCAGAATGCTGTACTTTTTAAAAAATTTATGTAAATGATTTGCGTAATAATCAATGATGCACACATAGCAAAGTCCATATTGAGACAGAATAATATAAGTATAAGACAGAAGGGCCTAATGTTATCAAGATTTTTTACTGGTTCTGTTGTTAAAAAAAAAAAATTCATTAGAAACAGACTTGGGAGTAACACAAACAGTGCTGCCTTAACTGAAACTCACATCAAACATTTGATCTCCACTGTCTAGAAGACAACAGATCTTTATCAAAGACATTTTTAAGACTCGGTTACTGAGCTGGGATAGGCTCGGTTAATTTGTATTTGTCATGTGCAAGAAGAGTTTTATCAAAATTTGGATTAAAAACGCAGATATTTTTAAGACTCAGTTACTGAGATGGGTTGACTCGGTTACATTTGTACTCTTCATGGCCATTTTGTTACGGTTCATGTTAGGCTGCTTTTATCAGTTTAATCCTAGTTGGCTTATTATCATAATAACCTAAAATTTTTGTGACCGTATTGTAAATCTCATCTTGTTTTATATACATGTCTTAACTCAATGCAAATGTATTTGTACCGGTACAATTTTGAGGCTGTAAAATGTAAATTTAACAAATCTATTTTTAAATGTTAAACATTCCAAAATGTCCACAAAAAAATGTTCATAATATTGTCAATTTTAACATTTTTTTTAAAATAAGGAAGTCCAGTGTATAATTTGAATCAAAGCGTTAAAAGATTTGTTTAATAAATAATTTTTTTTTTCTCCACATCCTTGTCCCTGTAACTGAACTTGTAACTGTACCTGTACCTGTACCTGTAAGTGTACCTGGAACTGTAACTGTATCTGTAACTGTACCTGTAACTGTACCTGTAACTGTACCTGTATCTGTAACTGTACCTGTAACTGTGTCTGTAACTGTACCTGTAACTGTACCTGTAACTGCACCTGTATCTGTACCTGTAACTGTGCTTGTAATGTCATATGCGTCATTTAGAATCAAAACTTAGCGTAACCAAACTACTAAACTATTGGTAAGATTAAACCAGTTCCTGTGATGTTAAAAATTCAGTCCAGCAAGGTGCACTGCCTACCATATAACACTAAAACTAATTGAACAGTCCAGCAAGGTGCACTGCCTACCATATAACACTAAAACTAATTGAACAGTCCAGCAAGGTGCACTGCCTACCATATAACACTAAAACTAATTGAACAGTCCAGCAAGGTGCACTGCCTACCATANTGACGGCATCCTATCTGTTAGATCAGATGGAGTGGATCGGTGTTGGAACAGGTCGTCTTTGGTATGTGCTGAGGGCGGTCTCAATCTTCTGTGTTCTTAAGTTGGCTTAACAACTAGCACATCCTGTGCCAGGAGGGGGCTGGGGGCAAAACAAAAGGGGTGTGGGGGGGGGGGGGGGGGGGGGTAGGTCTGGATATTTGACTAAACATGCATTCAAGTAACGCATTTGATAAGAAACCCAATTAGTGTGTACATCCCCCACCCCCCACCCCCACCCCGGCTAATTTTTTAGCACCACTGAACTATATTAATATTCTAATGACCCACCCACTTTTACACCGCAGGTATATTACACCAACTATTTCAGAAAAACAAAAGATAATATAACTCATCAATTTTGAAAGCGTCTCATTTAGTGTAGTTATCTTATCATCAATGACATCTTATTTCCAACATCTTATCTTTGAAAAATGGGGGGAAACTGATTTTTTGGGTTGTGGGGTTGAAAACTTGACTGAATGTGTTGTCAGCGGCAACGAGTCTGTGTGCCTAGTTTTGGCTCGATAGGTTGATGGGAAGTGGGTCATTTAGCCGTCCGAAGATTTTGTCACACCCACCCAGCCAACCATACTCCCAGCCAGCCAGCCAAACACCCAGCTAAAAAGAAAAAGAGGAACAAGAATGCTATCATTGTGTCATTTTAGTAGCGAACAGATAATTTAACCATAAATTGATTGGATTTTAAAAAATCATTGGCTTATTAACCCAGGGGCCGTGTTAGGCATTGTTTAACTGGAGTGAGGTTGAGTTGGCTTATTAACCCAGGGGCCGTGGTAGGCATTGTTTAACTGGGGTGAGGTTGAGTTGGCTTATTAACCCAGTGGCCGTGGTAGGCATTGTTTAACTGGGGTGAGGTTGAGTTAATCACTTGAAATATTTAAAATGAATGAAAAAGTTTTACGTTTTTTATGGCAAATAGTATGTTGACTACTCAATCCAATTAATAGGCCGTCGGCTATTTTTGGCAATTTTTTAGTTGACCTAAATAAATTTACGTGTGCAGAATAGCGTGTCATAAAATGACATATAATTGGCTTAAGAAGTCAACTGATTAATAAGATATCAATGGGGTGGCCTATAGTTTCTAGTTAATGGGGTGGCCTATAGTTTCTAGTTAATGGGGTGGCCTAGAGTTTCTAGTTAATGCTTACTTCAGGTTGAATAAGTTAGAAATAGGGTGGCTTATAGCAGGGGCGTCATGTTAGGCTTTTTCAAGGTCGGGAGGGGGGGGGCATTGGTCAGCTTTTTAAGTTGTTAATTACTGGAGGCACCACAGTACATGGCAATTTAAATGAAGCCTGCACATTCAGCCTGGGGGGGGGGGGGGGAAGGGAAAAATGCCCTACCCAAATGAAGTCCCTGGCCTACAGTTTCTAGAACAAGGGACCACCTGTTAGTCCTCTGCCTCGGGGACGGCTGCCTGTTGCACAGCTCGCTTACCTCATGGGACAGTCCACAGGACTCCTAACAGGAAAGACGTTGCTGTTGTGGGGAAAAAAAAGGACAGGACGTTCCCCTTAAACGAATGGAGCCTTGCTTAATAATGATGTTAGGAATTGGCACGTGTGTAATTTGAATTTCATAAAAAAGGCCTAAATGTTTTCTCATATCATGAAGATAAACTAAAATCCGTTTTAAACTTTTTAACTTTTATTAATTTATTTATTAATTTTTTTATTGAATACAGAGCCGTCACGTGACTTTTTGGTACCCAATGCCCCTTTTCGGTTTTGTGCCCCCAGCATTCCAATGTGATAGTCAGTTTTTTTATCCACATCACAGCTTTGGGCCCGTTCCGGGGCCCCCTTTTAACCTCAATCATACGCCCTTCCAACACCCATGTGAAAAAAAAAATACAATTTCCCGTTAAACTATATTGTTCCTAGCCTACCACAGCCCCTGGGAGAGAGATGTCCTAGCCTACCACAGCCCCTGGGAGAGAGATGTCCTAGCCTACCACAGCCCCTGGGAGAGAGATGTCCTAGCCTACCACAGCCACTGGGAGAGATATGTCCTAGCCTACCACAGCCCCTGGGAGAGATATGTCCTAGCCTACCACAGCCCCTGGGAGAGAGATGTCCTAGCCTACCACAGCCCCTGTGAGAGAGATTTCCTAGCCTACCACAGCCCCTAGGAGAGAGATGTCCTAGCCTACCACAGCCCCTGGGAGAGAGGTGTCCTAGCCTACCACAGCCCCTGGGAGAGAGGTGTCCTAGCCTACCCCAGCCCCTGGGAGAGAGATGTCCTAGCCTACCACAGC